AGGCCATCAATCATCCTGTGTCTTAAATCCCAATATGCTGGCTGAGAATGTCACCTTTGGTTTCTGTCCGGAGAACTTGCAGGTGGCACAGGATCATAGCGTTGCAGGGTGGCATGTCATAAGTCACAATGCTATGCTGGTGGGATTTCTCTCAAATCTGCTTCTCTCCTGGAGAGGTCTCTGGGGCCGCTCTCTTTGACACACAATTTTTATACTTTGAAGGAACAGAAAGTATTTTCTTCTGTATAAAGCACAAGAGGAATGACTGCCATTTTTTCCTTGACTTGACCTTTCATTGTGATCAAAGCAGGCAAAGCTTTGACAGATATACCCAACGAATACTTATGCAAATGACTGTACCTGGCTACTCTTTTTCTTTTTCTTGGTGTGTGGGGGGAGGTACCTGGGGCACTGAACCGCAGAGCCACATCCCCAGTCCTTTTCGTAAAATGTATTTTATTTAGAGACACAGTCTTGCCAAATTGCATAGGGACTCACTAGGTTGCTGAGGCTGGCTTTGAATTTGTGATCCTCCAGCCTCAGCCTCCCGAGAGGCCTCCATAACAGGTGTGCAAGACTGTGCCCAGCATATCTGGGCTATTCTTGATGGATAGGTTTTTATAGAGGATTTTCATCTATCTATCTATCTATCGTAATTAGTTAATCCATGACAGTAGAATGCACTTTGTCACATCATACATAGGTGGACTTTAACTTCTCATTCTTCTGGTTGGGCATGATGTAGAATCACATGGGTCGTTAATCAGATACACACAAAGGGTAATAGTGTCTGATTCTACTATCTGTTCCATCCTCATATCCCCTCCCCTCCCTTCACTCCCCTCTGCCTTACCCAAAGTACCTCTATTCCTCCCTAGCCACTCCCCATTGTGAATTAGCATCCGCATGTCAGAGAAAACATCTGGCTTTTGGTTTTTCGAGATTGGCTTATTTCACTTAACTATTCTGCAGCTCGATCCATTTACCTGCAAATGACATAATTTAATTCTTCTTTGAGGCTGAGTAATATTCCATTGTGTATATGTACCTCATTTTTTAAATCCATTCAGCTGTTGAAGTACACCCGGGTTGATTCCATAGTTTACTATTGTGAGTTGAGCTGCTATACTCATTGATGTGGCTGTGTTCCTGTAGTATGCTGATTTTAAATCCTTTGGGTATAGACCAAGGAGTGGGATAGCTGGGTCAAATGGTGGTTCCCTTCCAAGTTTTCCGAGGGATCTCCATGCAGCTTTCCAGAGTGGTTGCACCAATTTGCAGTCCCACCAGCAATGTATGAGTGTGCCTTTCCCCCACATCCTCGCCAACATTTATTGTTGCCTATATTCTTGAAATAGTTTTTAAAAATAAAATCTCAGCTCTGAATAACAATACTTTAATATGTTTGTTTGGAAGCTGCTCGTCACCAGCTGATTGAAATCAGACAATTAAAATAGAAGCTTAAATGGATTGCACACATAATACCAAGGGGGGCTGTCCTGTGGTCACCAGTACAGATGCTGGCTAGATGCATCAAAAAAAGATTCTGCATGTAAAAGGACACAAGAGCGCTGTCTCCTCCATTAGAGTTTCGGAAATATGTTTCCATCTTTGCAGCAGGTATTTGCTTTGCATGAGGCAGTTGAGGTTTCCAGTGGCTGTCGGGAACATGTCACATGGGAGATCTCGAAGGGCGGAGGCTTTGTGCACCCAGGTGGGCAGTTGTGAAAGTGCAATGACATCTGTGCACTCCTAGCAGCACTTGTGCACAATTTACACTTCTGGCAAGATCAGCAAGCAAGAAGGACATAATTATACTGAAGCATTTGAACCACCGTTTCTTAGATGCAGTAAATGCTCTTTGGCGGTTTTGGGACAGAAATGACTCGCAAGTATCTGAGTGTATGAGCTGTCCTTGGATCTCCAGTAGTAGTAGTGCTGCTACGTGGTAGAACACTTCCAACTGAACAGATTCCCAAGGTCTTCTCTCAAGGACCATTCCTTCCTTCCACTCTAGAGGAAGAACTTAGTCTAAGCACCCTTCCCAAACTCCACTATGATCTTTCCAACTAGCAGCCATGATCAGGTATCATGAGATACAGAGAGCTCTGAATGTATTCTTTAGGAAACAAAAGTAGTAAGAAAGTCCTACAATATGCAAGGTAGGCGCGTTTTAAAACCAGCTTTCATTACGGCTATAAAAATGACATTCGTTTAGAATTGCCACTTTGGTGAAAACATCAGGCATTTCTTTTTTAACCCACTTGAGGGGTAGACACTAAACTTGGCAAATTCACACATCTTAGGAAAGTATCATGGAAGAACCCGATTTTTAAAAGAAATTAGCAAAATTAGCAATAAATTGTTCACAGGCAGCACTAGGGACTACAAAATCGAAAATATTTGCATAACAAAGATTTATTCCCCATGGAACTTGTGTGAGATAAAAAGCAGACATCATAACATTGGCCTCAGATCCGATAGCATTGCTCTTTAAAGTGTAGTAAGTATTGGAATTTCCAAGGGGACATTTGCAAAAGACCCAGAGATTATGCCTCTGCAGGATAGAGGGAGGATCTTGAGATTTTCATTGCTAGCAGACTCCAAGGGGGTGGCTACATTTTTGGCTAAAGATCACACTTTGAGGGACATTGCTGTGAAAGACTCGTGGTAGACTTAAAGGGTGGTAGTTTTAACATTCTGCCTCTTGATTGGAAAGTGGCAGTAAGTATTTGAAAATTAAGTTCCATTGGTGAGTCTTTTTCTTTTAAACCAGGCAAGAAACTACCGAAACCTAGATTGAAAAACGTCTCACTACTTACCATGCACCCTGAGTTTTGCACTCTAGATAGCCACAATGTAGCTGAGAATTGCAATTCTAATCGGAAAATATAGCAAGAATGAAACTGAAAATCAGGTGCTATGCACAGTGGCACACACGTATAATCCCAGTGGTTTGGGAGGCTGAGGCAGGAGGATCCCTAGTTCAAAGCCAGCCTCAGCAACAGTGAGGCGCTAAGCAACTCAGTGAGACCCTGTCTCTAAATAAAATGCAAAATAGGGCTGAGGATGGGGTTCGGCGATTGAGTGTCCCTGAAGTCAATCCCAGCACCAAAAAAGAAATATATAGGTAAAATAATCATAGGCTTATGATAATGTCGTGCCTATACTGAGTTGACTAACATTTGAATATACATCACCACTAACTTTTACTGATTAAAAGTTGAATGACCTATAATTATAATTTTGAGAATCAAATCTCCTTGTATATAAATTCTTCATTTTTATGTGAATCATGAGGCCAATTTTTATACATAAACACGGGTATATAGCATACCTCTCTGTGTACTTTGTATGCATATTTGTGCATTTGCTATATGAACTATATACATAGTAATAAACTATATGCTATATATGTATAAAATTTTTTATTTAACAGTGTTATTTACTATTAAAGTTGTTATGAAGGAATGCAGGTTGGCTACTCTCTTTGAATCTTTGATTTATTAAAGTACATACAGTCATACAGTGTACGTATCTGTTTAAGTAAACGCTCTTCTCTTGCGCAACTCTCATGTCAGAATCTAATGTTCAGATTTATTCTACCTCCTTCGATGAAGTCATTGAAATGGATGAATGTCTGTGCTAGTGGATGCCTCCAGCTAAAGATATCAGTTAATAGTCACAGTGAATTTTTCTGAAGTCTTTTTTCTTAGGTGTGTCTTTGCCTAGTTTTGGCATCTGGGTGACACTAGCCTCATAGAATGAGTTTGGAAGGGCTCACTCCTTTTCTATTTCATGGAATACTCCAAGGAGTGTTGATGTCAGTTCTTCTTTGAAGGTCTGTTAGAACTCAGCTGAGAGTCTGTCTGTCCTGGGCTTTTCTTAGTTGGTAGGCTTTTGATGGCATTTTCTATTTCATTACTTCTAAGGGATCTATATCACATACAACCAGAAGGAAGAGAAATTTATGCTCCATCTATGTATGATGTATCAAAGTGCATTCTACTGTCATGTATAACTAATGTACTTAAAAATTGCAAAAACATAAAACAGTAAATTTTTCACAGATTTTAAAAATGTTTTTTTTTAAAAAGGTATCTGCCCTCTCCTATGTATTACAACACTATTCACAATATCCGAGAAATGGAAAGAACCTAAGTGCCCATCAACTAAGGACTGGATAAAGAAAATATGGTGTATACATGCACAAGAGAATACTATTCTACCATTAAAAATAGATAGAATTCTGTCATTTGTGACCACATGGATACAACTGGAGAATGTTATGTTCAATGAAATAGATAAGATATGGAAAGACAAATACTGTATAATCTCACTCCTGGGGAATCTCAAAAAATTGATCTCATAGAATTTGAGAATAGAATAGGAATTACTGAGTCTGGGGATGGATGGGGAGAGTCAGAGAACTGGGGAGGTGTTGGTCTAAGGATACAAAATTTCAGTTAAGTAACAGGAATATGTTCAATGACCTATTTTGAACACGGCGATCATAGTTAATAAGAATGCATCTGTGTACTTAAAAAATTGCAAAAAACATAAAACAGTAAATTTTTCACTCAATTACATGCAAAAGATGGCCCCAGTGTTGCCAATTTAAAAGCGAGTGGATGTTTAATTTCATGATAAAAAAAAATTTCATCAGAAGCGGCACACTTTAAAAAGTGCTCCTGACGGAATAAGACGTATCTCTTGCAGGGAGTTCTTTCTGATGGTGAATATCATTCCTATAGCTCACTGCAAACCTCTGTGACTTTCCTTGGTCAGCTGGGTTGAAATGCACTTTTTTTTTTCTTTTTGGTTTCTGTTCTACAAAGATGCCCAAAGCAGTTCGACGATCAGCTGATTGATTGGATTTTTCTAAACCCACCAGGACAAAGAGGCATGGGAAGCCCACAGATGACTTCTCTCCTTCCCTTTCTTTGGTTCTTACCCATGTATATATATATATATATATATTTGTTTTTTCTTTCCTCCAGTGCCTAGAGCCTTGCAAGGAACCAGGGGACCTCAGGAAACACCAGTGTCACAGCTTCTGTGAGGTAAGAGAGCAGCAAGTTGATTATTTCACCCATCCGTGGCAGACAGTGTGCTCTTTAGAGATGCAAACTGTCCATACTCCCATCACGGCTAGCCTCCAGCTCTGTTTCTGCCTGGTATGAAAATGCCTTCTGCCATTAGGAAGAAGCCACCCATGTTATGGGTAATAGCATTTCTCAGTCCTTCCGTCTCCCTCCTCCTTTCTTGGGCAGAATGCTCACCTACCTTTACCTGTGCTGTCAGTTAGATGAGGAACAGACCCCAATCCTGGAGGACGGCTGTCTGACATCATCAGTCGTGCCGGGGACCCGGGAGAGCTGCTTGGCTGAGATGTCACCTGCAGCTCAGGGGCACAGGCCGGGTGCCAACCTGGTTTCTTGTAAGATGTAGCCAGGAAGACTGGCCGATTGTCCAGGTTCAAAGATAGTGACCTCGAGAGGTAGACAGGGCCAGAAGAGGAAAGAGTTGACAGAGCTCACTAAGGGGTGCTCAGTAGGGCCAGCAGAGATGCCCCGCGGCATCCAAATGAAATGATGTCATCGGGCGTCTTGGAAGGGAATGGGGGAGGGCTGGGCTGGAAGGAATGTCCTGCAGAGGATCTGGGCAGCCACAGAGATCTGGTCTCCAAGCACTGTAGCAAGGGCTGATGTGATCCCCTTGGCAGAACACAGACTACTCTGAGAAGCTGGGTGCCAAATTGGGATCATTGTTACATCCTCATTGGGATCATTATTGCGTCCACCATGTGCCCTGTGAATAGCCCATCCCCATCATCTCATTTGACCTTCCCAATGACCTTGGAGTAAAGCAGCAGGCAGCTACTACACCGGGGCTGGGTACCTGAGGTGGAGATCTAATCCAAGGCGGAAGGGCTGGGTCTAAACCCTTGTCTCAGGCACCTCTTCCTAATGGTACAGGTGTAAACTGGGGTGGGGGTGGGCTTCGCTCTGTCAATCACCCCGGGTCATGTGCTACAGTGTTATTTTAGAAAACTGGAAGGAAATATGTCTCAGTTACTAAAGTGACCACCTTGTGATCTTTGTAATCTCTGTTGTTTTGCTCTGAGAGTTCCTTTGTAGCATTTGGTGGTCTGGCAGGAATATTGACCATTTGCAGACCTTTCCACAATAATGCCTGTTTGCTAGAAGCTCTTCCACCTGAGGGTCCCAGTCCAGGAAGCCTTTGGAAACCTTTGGTAATTGCAAGGATGAAGATGCCTTCAATAACACACAGACCCCTTGCAGGTAGTCAAGGTTATTTAACCAATTGCTCTGAGACTGACAGGCAGGGTGAGCTAATGATCTAGTGTTAAATCCAATAAGAAGACCCACCCTCAGTCTCTGTGTGCAACCAACATTCTCGAGAAGCGGCTGAAGAGACATGATAGCATAAATCATGGCTTCCACCTCCCCAAGGAATGACATGGTACCATCTGTTTTATTGAAATCTAAGCTTTTCCAGAAACCATATGCATTCCATTTAATGTATCTTTATATTAGTTATCTCTAACTAATCTCTAACTCAAACCACTCCAAAGCTTAGCTTTAACAATGGGCAGGTATATTATCCCAATGAACCGAAATGAAATTAGTAAACTTCATTCATTTAATATGCACTTTGTGAATACCTACGATTTGCCCAGCAGTTTGATTGAGGTACAGCAATAAGCAAATTAGACATAAACAAATAAATCCCTGCCTTCTTGAGGGTATTCTCCTGGATGGAAGGCCATCTAGATGAAAATTAGATGAACTCGATCCTCATCTGAACTTTAAAATTAACTCATCCTGTGAATTTGGGCAAATCATTTAGTGTACCACGTTTATCCTCATTTTCAAATCTTAAGATTTACCCTAGTGACCTTGGATGGTGTTCTTATAAAAATAGACAATGACTGGGAAGACACTGTAGAAAACTTGTCAGCTACACTATCGAAATAGTAGATATGTGGTATTAATTATGTATTACAGGCTTGTAGGTCACAGCCTGGGGTGTGTCTGAAACACTACTGTTCCTGACTAATCCCCCCCACATTGGTAATCGAAGTTGACAACATCAGATCAAAAGGTCTAATTGAAGCTGGGCGTGGTAACACATGCCTATAATTACAGTGACTTGGAAGGCTGAGGCAGGAGGATCCAAATTCCAAGGCCAGCCTCTGCAATTTAGCAAGACCCTGTCTTAAAATTAAATACAAAAAGGCTGAGGATACAGCTCAGAGGTAAAACACCCCTGGTTCAATCCCCAGCTTTTCTGCCCTGAAAAAAAAAAGTTTAGTTAAGCAACTATTATACTTCTTTTCAGAAAGTTTTTCAATTCCTGCTCTAAGAGAATCCATAGTCATAATTACATCGTAAAACTTACCTAACCATTTAGACTGTGGGCCAAATTATATTCTGTGCATATATGAATATGTAACAGTGAATTCCACTTTTAAGTATAAGTATAATGCAACAATTTTAAAAATAATTACAACAACAAAAGAAGAATTTAATTCTTGGTAATTTTAATCACAAAATAAATTTTCCTATGAGGAAGAGACATTCTGCCATTTATCCAGAGTTATTATTTTTTTTAATTTCTTGTGGATGTCCACGATGGTGAGATTCACTGTGGTATATCCATATATGTACATAGGAAAGTGCTAGTTACATTTTTTTTTTTGAGCAGGACTAAAAGAAAATCACTAAAGAGTATTACTTTCCTATGTGGGGATTTCTTGTTCTTAAAACATATCCCTCAACTGCTGCATAACATAGAGGTTAAATCAGTGCGTCTCTTTAGGATCTGAAGTAAAGCTTCAAGTCTGGGAACCCCTGAAAAACAGTTCAAGTTACTGAAAAAAGCTAAATATGAAAATGATATGCCCCAGATTGTGTGTGTGTGTGTGTGTGTGTGTGTGTGTGTGTGTGTGTAGGGAGGGGAGATCAGCACATAGAATTTAGTATGGTTTACTAATCCTTTTCTTTAGCGCATCAGAACAATAGCTTACCTGGCTAGAATCTCCTCCCAAAGGAACAAAGAGGCGTGGAATCTGCTGATACATAATATTTGTGCATATTTATGGGGAATAGGATGATGATTTGATCCATGTATACACAGTGTAAGGATCAATTTTTAGGGTAATTAACATTTCCATAGGCTCAGCATTAATCATTTCTGTGTGTGGAGACTGACGTCTTCTCACTCTTTTGAGCCACACCACGGGTCGTTGTATGCTACAGTTGCTCTCGCGTCCTACAGAAAACCAGAACAAATTCTGCCTATCCCACTGTCTTCTGATGTCCCTCCTGTAACCTCTTTGTGTTCTTCTTCTTTGATTTCCTTCTAATTTTATTTTGTCCATGGCCCAAGGTCTCTAATGTGCTTGGGAAACAAATTAATTGCAATCACATCTAATAAATTACTATTTATAATTGAGTTTCCGGGCAAATCACCCTCACATTTCCAGGCATGAATTAGAAACATTTGCAGTGAGAACTCTTGATCTTCCTTTCTTAGTGTTTAGATGCCTTCTCTGAAAGGTACACTTAGTAGTTCCGGTTTTCCTCTTTTAGGTCTTTATTTCTTATAGATTTTTATAGAAATCTTACCTGCTCACTAAAAATTAATTGAGCAATTAGGTTACACTAAAGAATAAAACCAAACCATTACTCTAAATTCGACCACCCGGAAATAGCCATAGGTTAGCTTTCAAGAAGCGTGAACCCAGCAGAACTGAGACTATTCTCCTTAGAAATGCCCCTTAAATGTAATCACCCTATGGTACAATGGAACACCAGAATTCATTTCTTCTATCTTAACTTATTAGATGAAAATTTAAAGCAAATTTTTATTTTAAAAAAACCCTGCTTCACTGGTTGATTCTGGGCAGGGATCTAAAAACTCTTAAACTTCTAGAAGGTTCCCACTACTACCTAGCATTCTAATAAGTGGGGTTCGCTGTTCTGAGTGTGTTTGTGCACACTGTGTGGTCTACCCTGAACACCACTTTTCCTCCTGGGAACCTGGATTTTTACTACATTCCAGGCAGACGGTTCTTACATGACTAGTTCCAGGTAAAAACCCTGAATGCCAAGTCTTGAATGACCTCATTTGGTTGAATAGGATCCTAATAGGGAAGCATCTTGAGAACCACTGGGTTAATGAGAGTCTTCTCATATTTACCCCGACACCTTAAGACAACATTGAGTCTAATGGTTGCTTGGATTCTTATTTGATTTGTGGGACACATGATCTCCCTGAGCTCCTGATACTTAATTAGTAGAAGGAAATGATGATGGTCATGAGGACTCCCGAGGCAGAATTGAGATGAGGAAATGGAGCTCTACTACAAGGAGAGGGATGGTAGATAGCCACACCTGCTGAGCTTCACTACTACAGATATGATGGTGATGGTGGTGGTGATGGTGGTCAGCATGGTGGTGGTGATGGTGGTGAGGATGTGGTGAGGATGGTGAGGATGGTGGGGGTGATGGTAGTGAGGATGGTGGTGGTGATAATGGTAGTGGTGATGATGGTGATGATGGTGGTGGTGGTGATGGTGACGATGGTGGTGGTGATGGTGGGGAGGATGGTGGTGGTGATGATGGTGGTAAGGATGGTGGTGATGGTGGTGGTGATGGTGGTGGTGATGCTAGTGGTGATGACGGTGATGGTGGTGGTGATGGTGGGGAGGATGGTGGTGGTGATGGTGGTAGTGATGATGGTGAGGATGGTGGTGGTGATGATGGTGGTGATGGTGGT